GCTTCCTGGCTCCTGGATCTCTAGGGAGGTGCTAATCTAGCCTTTGTCAGCGGCTAACCAGCAAAAGCCTCCCTGCAGGGCCTGGGCGGGGCGGGTCCCACGGGATCAACAGGGTGGGGCTAGCAGTTATGGCTGCTCTCAGACTTGCCCTCAGAGGCTCTGCTTCTCAGTGTCCCAGTAATCGCTGCAAGCCCCAAGGAGAGAAAGCTGCCCTCCGGTTCCGACCGATGCCAGACAGTCCCGCTTCTCCCATACGAGTCTGGGTCCCTAGAGACTCGCCCGGAACTGGAGCTCAGAGCCTGAGACTCCCTCCAGATTGAAAACGACAACCGCGCCCTCAGCCACCAGCCCTCTCCACATACACCTCTGCACCTTTGTATTTTACTTCCACACCGCGCCTCCTCTGAGTCTCGGTATGCTTTTCTCTTTCCTTCTAGTTGTAGGATTTCCACTCAGCCAGCCTTCCTGTGGTTCTGGATGATGTCCATTCAGTCTTATAAGTACCGCGCGCTAACCGATTACGCCACTGGAGCTCCTGTTCCATCTTTTAGTTGTATTTTTGAAGTGGTTGTTCGAGGCAGCAAACTCCGGTGTTTACCTATGCCGCCATCTTGGTTTCTCCTTCTCTGTAGTCCTTTTCTTAAAGGAGTTTTAATCATCCTATATAATAAACGGCTAATATGCAAATAACCCCATGGTGGGACAACTGGAACAACCAAACAACTGGTCACTATGATGTGAGCTGACCACCAGGGGGCGTGCCCAGAACATTCCAGGCGTTGGTCGCGGCAGGATGGTGCAGCAGGTGACCAGGTGCACCAGACCAAGGCTGGGCACTGGTAGTTGTCATCAGGATGAACCTCTGGTGGTTACTAGAAATTCTCTGCTCCCGTATACCACCGTCCCACCCAGCGCTTGCACCTGCTGCTGTCACCAGCCTTGTTGGCACCTGCTGCTGGCACCAAAGCCACTGCTCACACTCACTGCCGGTGCCTGGTGCCAGCCCCTATCCCTCAGTGCTATCAGCGAGTGCGAGCAGCAGCCACCGGCCTCAACTGCCCCTTAATGCTTCTCTACCTTACCCTGCTCCTGAGGGGAGATCGGGTCTGGCAGCCACCTCTACACCCGCTGTTGGTGCCGGCCCTGATCACCCATTAGGGCTTCTACACCTCCCCCTGCTCCTGAGGGGTGATCAGGACAGTGGAGGATGGGCCTAGACCTGCCCCATACCTACCACAGCCTTGTGGCCCACAGTTTCTTTCAAGGTGCACAAACTTGTGCACTGGGTCCCTAGTATTATATGTTTCTACAAACATTTCCTTTTGTTGGTATTGAGGGAACAAATTGTCTCTAACCTTTTTGCTTCTTTACTTAGTACCGACCACAATTACTCTCACCATCACCACCACCACAGCCAAAACATTTCTATTGGGCCAGCCCTTTAACTGCAGGACAGAATGCTCAAAACAGGGAGACAAAAGGGTCTATGACATATGGCCTGTGCCTTCTAATAGCTTAAACTCCAGTTAGAAATGTGACCATGTACTTGGAAGATAAATATCATTCCACATAGTCAGGACGCATTCTTTTTTTTCTTTTTTTTCCCTTTATTGATTAAGATATTACAAATGTGTCCTTATCCCCGCAATGTCCCCTCATCCCCCCAATCCTGCCCTCACCCTCACC